GAAGAACAAAATAACGACACAACGGGCTCGAACAACATTATTAATTAATTTCTTGACACGCGACAGCGTACCGAGATTCAGGGAATGCGTGTTCCGTAGCAAAATTTGGAATGACTTTATCTATTATTAAATTAACCCAATACTCTAAAACTAAGTAGACTGCTCAATGTGGAACCCAAAGAAAACTGCCTGTTTTTTCGGAGATCTCTTCTGAATTCGACACCTCGCTTCGACACGCCCATTTCTTGGGTCCAGACGTTTATATTCTTATCTTACTGGCGGGAACCCTGAATATCGGGACGCTTTGGCATAACTATGCCATGTTAATCGTTATCTAATTGACTGATTTTTACAATTAATTATCTAAATAATTTTGAGACTAAACTCTTGTGACTCCGCATAGCAATACGGGACGGATTAGTCAATCTCATTTAATCTGTCCTTATAGCTTGGAAAATCCGCTAAAAAAACAGCTGTTTGACCTATTATTATTTTCCTGACAACATTTTAACAACTTTAAATATCTTGGAATTCCTACGTGTTCTTTCGAATGCATTTCGCGCGTTATTAGAAATATCGATTTTTCTTTTTATACCAGATGCTCAACACATGCCCCGACGATCTAAGTGAACTTGTTAAAAAATACTGTTAAATTTCATGAAGCCTTCTGCCAAGGACGGCCTTGTGGCGACGCTACCTACTTGAAAACTCTTACCTTTTCGATAAATTAGTGTTGACTGAAATATTTTACTTTTTGGCCCATCCGTTCCGAGAACTAATAAATAAATTACTACGCATCCCAGTTTTTTGTGTTACATATCAAAATTACTTGGGACACCCTTTACATGTTTGTCTTATTGAAAATAAATTCGTTGTGGTTATATCTTATGATAAATAAAGTAATTCAAATGTACATTAATGATTTCAAAAGTGCTATGCAATATCAAAAAGATATAATCCAGGCGCACTGAATTTAATTACGAATGTTTATAATAACTTATAATTTAAACATTATTGCTATTTGCTTTTAACGAACTTAATCCTTTTAATTATTTTCAGATAACGGAAACGGCGAATTTGTCTTGTGTTCTATCAATAACATTGACTTTAGAAATATGTCAATAAAGTGTTAATAGCATAAGTAACTTGGCATAATTTCTATGGACATAGTACACCAAATCACTTTAAATCATAAAAAATTGTGACCTCGCTACGTAACACATAAAACAAAGATTTATTTACCAACCCACAGTTCTGTTGATTAGTAGCAGTAATAACTCAAAAGTAGGAATGAGGTTATGTTAACAGCTATTGTTTACCCGCCATAGTGATGTCATTCATACTAATAAATTTCCGTGCGTTTTTTGCATGGTATTTGATGATGGTATTCGCTAAGGAAAAATTAGGATTCATACAATTTTTCAAAATACATTCAAATACAAATATTTTTAGAGCAATTCCAACCGACAATTTTGATTTGTAATTTATATAACTATTATTGTTAGTTTGTCATTGCTTCCAAAATACTTATTTGCTTTAATACAGTTGTAAGGAATATTATTTTGTTGCTTGCAACTGAACTGATTTATGACACTGAAATGTTTTATGTAACACCAAAATTATGGAACATTTTTCTGAATTTTTACAAATTTAATTTTATTGAGAAAATATTAATTTACAATAAATATTATTCGTGTTATAGAGCATTATACAGGGTGTCCCTGAAAAAGATGGACAACGCTTGACCACAGGTTCCTTGGATGAAAAAAAATACTATTGAGCCTAACTCACCTATAAACAAAAGTGCACGCCTACTGAGATATAGCCTTCTATATATTTCGTTATTTTTATTTTTAAAAAGTCATGTTTACTTTGAATCGTACCTTGAATTATTAGTTATGCACATACTTAATTTAGACCAGGGTGGATCTGTTTTGAGGTGGATGTGAGAGGGGGCAAGCAATTTTTTTCTGGATTACCTTCAATACAACTCACATCATAAAAGTGTAGATCCCTAGATCTGGGCAAGGTCCGGAACTTTTTCAAAATTTCAAAAATGTTTAAAATTTTTTTAAAAATACCTATATTTTTCTTATATCTTGGAAGCTAAGCATTTTGGAAGATTATTGAAAAGGAAAAAAAGTTTTAGAAAATCTGCACAATGTACTGCAAGTTAAAAATTTTTAAATGTATTACCTATGTCGCAAAATAGCAGTAATTGATGAAAAAAACGTAAAATAATCAAGTTTTTTGGATAATTAAAAAAAATATATTTTAGTTGCTCCGAGGGCATTAAAAAAACATTAGAGTATAATAAAACAACACACCAAATTTCATTAAAATCGGTTGAATAGTTTACGCAAAATAATTTTTTCAAAAAAATTTTCGAATTTTCAAAATGTTGCACAGCCTCAAATAAAGCATCTATATAGATACTTGAAAATGTTTTCACATAGAAAAGATCGCTCAACCTTTCAAATGATTTTCGAAAAATTGAAATCGGTTGATTAGGACCGCCACAGTAAATTTTTAAAGTTAACATTCTTTTCTTTATTTTAAAGCATTTATCAATTTGCAATTTACTTTTCTTCAAAAATTATAATTTTAAAGTACTGGGAAAAACGCTTCTTTAAAAAAAAAATTAAATTCCGTTTATTGGTTCTCGAAGTATAAGCTGTTAAAGTTCATTGGCATTTACCGTTAATTTATAAACAATTTAGCAATAACCTTTGATCCAGTGGCTTCGTTTTTCCAAGTTCTAAGCTGGAAAAATTTTCATCTCCATAAGTTATCGGCAACATAGATAAATCAGCGGAAAAGCTGTCGCTCGCTCGCGAAAAAACACGAGAAATGGGGGAGGGGCCTTTCGCTCCGAGAAATTCGGCGGTTCAAAATGTGGTCCGAAAAAAATTGCATTACTCGGCTTCTAATGGGCCAATTTCGTTCTTTTTTTTAATCCGATGTCTCGCGAGCCAAGGAATTCGAATATCGTAATGCCAACTGTCAATTTGCACATTTTGTTTATTTAATTAAATATACTGTAATATTTTACCCTATGCTATTGCATTTTTTCAATGAAAAAACTTGTTTACGTATATATTTCAACACTTTGTTTTAGCAAATTAAAAAATATTTTTAAAAATTTTTTAATTTGGAAATTAATTTTTTTGTTAAGTACAGATAAAATTAAGAAAAAATAGTACTCTAAAATTATAATTTTTGAAAAAAACTAAATTGCAAATTGATAAATGTAATATAATTGTTTAAAAATAAAAAAAAGAGTATTAATTTTAGAAATTTATTGTGGCCCAGACTGGGATTTTTGAAGGTTTTTTTTCAAAATTTCAGAAGATGACCAGATTTCAGCTGATCTTCATACATTTTTTTCTAAAGTACCCGTAAAGACTTGTACTTTCATGTCCAAGTGCTATAAATTTGATTTATTTGGGTCACACGATTGAGTTTTGAGACGTTAGGTTGCCAACTTTCAATTGTTTTGTATTCTCAGAAAACAAAACGTTAAATATTAAGGGTGAGAGGGTAGTAGGGGTAATTTTTTGAGAGGAATATATACTTACTGAACATCTGAGATGGTATATCAAACGAATCATTGATTTGGGTCATATTGATTGAGTTTTAGAGGTTAGTCATTCGATGTGACCTAAGTCAAACTTATAACATCTTTGAACTAGTAAAGATAGTGTTATTGGGAGAAGGGTAGGTACGCAATCAATATGACCCAAATAACATGAACAGTATCTAAAAATTTTAGTAGGTACACCTTACGCTCAAAACATTACCTCTGCTGTTCTCTTATCTTTAATATTCAACGTTTCCTCTCTGAAATATTAAAATAATTGAACTTTGGCAACTTAACCTCTTAAACCTCAATCAATATGACCTAAATTAAATGTATACCATCTCAGATCTTCAGTAGGTATATCTTCCTCTCAAAAAATTACCCCTCGTACGTTTTATTCTCTGAAAATACAAAAAAATTGAAATTTGGCAACCTAAACTCTCAAAACTCAATCGATATGACCCAAATCAAATTTATAGCATTTGGGCATGAAAGTACAAGTCTTTACGAGTATTTAAAAAAAATGTAAGAAGATCGGCTGAAATCTGGCCATCTTCTGCAATTTTGAAAAAAAAAACCTTCAAAAATCCCAGTGTGGCCGTTCTAATCAACCGACTTCAATTTTTCAAAAACCATTTGAACGATTGAGCGGTCTTTTCTATGCGAAAAAAATTTTCATGTATTTAGATGCCTTATTTGAGGCTATGCAGCATTTTGAAAATTCGAAAATTTTTTTTTAAAAAATTATTTTGCGAAAACTATTAAACCGATTTTAATGAAATTTGGTGTGTTGTTTGTTATACTCCAACCCTTTTTTTATATATATAGTGGGATATTTCGACAGGTCCGTCCTGGTCTAATTCCATTTTGAAGGTGTAAATCTTAATTATTCGTTGGTACTTTTAGATTGTAAATGATAGCTTGAAAATAAATAGCTTATACTGCTTATAGTGTTACAAATCGGCCAGTGAAATAGTTATTAAATATGTCTCAAAGGGATCATAAATCAATACTGGTGATTGTAGCACGATAAAAGCCAGTTTGTATGTGGAAGGACGGAAGGACGTAAGGGAATCTTAATCCAGATTCTGCAGACATAAACTACAGCAGCATTTGTAATTGTTCTCGCCGGGATACAATAAAAACGGAGTAAAGCTCAGTTGAGCTACGTGATAAAGCAGAGGGTAAATAAACAAATCATCTTTCTGACAATGCAGATCAACGACACCACGACGACGTTGCAGCAACGCGTACTCCGCTAAGCGATAATGTTTATTAAATGCCTAAAAAATATCGCTGAATCGTTAATGATCGTTCGTACTCGTTGGCGGGCGTGCGTTGTGGAATTGGCCGAGACAACCGTAGCACCAAGCCTAGAAGCCCGGGCTTGGGTCGACGATGCTTAGTTTCGTCGTCTGACTGCAGTGACGATAATGTCTCGCGTACAAATAGCATGAAGTATTAACACATATATCCACGTTCTTCTGTCAATAAAAGGGACTAAAGTAAAAAAAGGACCTTCACTTACAGTCGGGGCGCGTACTCTTGCAAACTTTTCCTCTTACTGGTTCTGTTTTCTTTTTACTCTGTGGCAAGAACCTAATGAGTGCATGTGTGTGTTACTCCAGTGGATTTTAATGTGCATGTGAACGATATAGGTTAGTCTATAAACGTATTCATCACCTGTTGTTATTCATGCGGCTATTTAATCCGTATAAATTTTTTTCCGCAAGACATAATGCACCACCCCAGACCTGACTCGCTGTCGGTTTGTCCGAGAAACAATGCAAAGCAATACCGTTTTACTATAAACAGTGTTTATGTTCACTAACATTATAATTAGGTGTACTCAACTTATTATGAATGTTAAATCATCCATTTTTTTATTTGGGTATATGTGTCAGGGTTCATTTACCTATTATTCAACAGTATGCACAATGTGTATATCTGCATGTTTATAAAGACGTTCCTACACGTGATGCCTGTGTATTTATTGCAATTGCAATTTAAAGCCGCTTAGGAAGCAAAATTATTCGAGGACGACATATTTTAACTGTTTCATTTTGAACCGAGTACAAAAAATATGTTAATGGCAACAGCTACAGGTATCTTTTATGTACAAGTTATTAGCATAACCGTTAGAATTGGCAAATACCTACGGACTGCCTACTCCACAAAAAGAATTTGTTGTTTCGTTTGCTTCTCGCGAATTTATAAACAAGGGATAACGTGTAGGTAACTAATTTTATGTGAAAAATCAGTACAGACTATATTTTATTGGATGCTGTGAATTTAACAACAAATTTCCGTAAGGCACATGTTGGAGTAGATGTATGTAGTGGAAAGGAAAAGTTATACTTCTGCTAAAGTAATTGTCTTTGATTTTTGCGATGATCTTCCATAAATTTATAAATATGAACGCGTTATTATGACAGCGGTAGATTGGGATAAACAAATTTTACCTCATACTTGTAGTGTATACTTACGTTGAACCTCATACTTGTAACAACTTATAAATTAATATATGTGCAAAGTATAAATCAAAACGGATTAGAACTAAATAAATAATGTTGAAATTTAATAAAATTTATAAATTATAAACCTTTTTTTAAATAATCCTTAACAGATCTTTCTCCAAAAACTTCAATAGATAAGAAGCCCACTCCTTCCTTCATAAGCCAATGTTCACATGTCTTGTTTCCTGTACCATTGCCATATTGACCGATTTCTGGTTTTCATTATCTCAAAAGGCTCTCTAGAGTATTTTCTGAATTTAGTTCAGCATTTATAAATATTCGAAGTTTTAAAAGACTGACTTGTAGATATATTTCAGTAATTTATGATCTGTGAATTTAGTCAGGGACTTTTGTCAGAATTTAAACATATTTCTGGCTTCAGTTCACACAATCAAGCGAAAAAAAAGACTGTGGAATAAAGTAACTCGATTTTGTTCATAATTAAATTGTTTATAAGTATTAGAATAACGTTTACTTAAATGGAATATAGAAATCTCTAATTCCTCATAAAATTATAAATACAGCATTCAAAGTTGATAACCATTTATTGTTTTGCTATCATTAAAGTTAAGTCTCTGAGCTTCTAAAAGATCGGATATTATACACTGAAAAAAGGATTTATTTGGACTAAACAAATATCGTTTGCCATAAACTAATCCTAGTTTTGGATATTGCCTAGCATATATAGTATGAAAAGTAACTAATAATAAGTTCATAGTTTTGTAATAAATCTTATTTGAATGTTAATTTATTTTTACTGTAATATTACATTTCGCATCTTTATTATTAATCTACATATTTTAAGATGTAGATGACATAAGATTATTAGAAATATATCTTAGCTTAATGTGAACTAACAGTTTTTCAGTGAAAATAGGTTATTTTAATATTAATAAATGAATGGTTTATAAAAAGTGAATTGTTTTTTTCGCTAAAATTGGACGTATTTCTTTCTTGATTAGTCTCAAAATTATGTACTTTCTCAAATTTAATTAAACTGATAATTAGATAACTTATCTAACTAAGTTTATAATTTTTGAAATGGTACATAGTGTTGAGATCTACTAATAGAGAAGCACATGCGAGTATATACGATACTTTTATTCGAACATTTCATTTTTGCTAAAAATTAATTTTAAGATTTGTATTTTCCGAACTTATTATATACATACATATATCGATCAAAACTACTTGTCATAGTTGTTGACAGTTTAATGATTAAAAATAATTGGCGGATTGTTAAATTGGGTTTTATTATAAATTTATGAAACTACAACAGCAACACTATGTCCTTATTTAAAACTGACTTTTTGACGATTATTACTTGTTTGACCCTAACTTCCACAGTTTCTGCATCCATTTTAATGATGAGTAAACGGAACACAGCACACAGCACTCTGTAACTATATGCACATGTTATATTATGAATATGATCTAAGAACAACAAGAAACACTACCTTTTGATATACTCGTAGTCCATACCGAGGTCCATACTAGCCTACTGAACTACACAATACACTACAGGCACCTTGCATACATAGTCGCCATGATGGCGAAGATACGACTGTCAGGGGAGAACACAACTTGGTCACGTGATTGGAATAATTTTTAAATAATATATTTTACTATTGAACTGATAATAGTTTTAAACTATATAAAAATTTAACTTTTATAACCAGCTGGTTCACATTTAAGAAATTATATATTTGGAATAATTTTCCTTTAAAGTTTAATTGTAACGTTTGATAGGCCAATATAAAATAATATTTATTAAATAAAAACGAATATAAATTTGTATTAAAAATGTATTCTTTTAATTCGCCTAACAAATATTCTAAAATCATAAATGGTTATATTAAATCTAATTTGTTAATTATAGACAAATCTATTGTAAACTGTTTCTTTTTTTAATTCAAACAAATCAAATGACTTGTATTAAATGTAACTGGTTTAAATCAATTTAACCAGCATAAATGTAAACTAACTGCATTCAAAATAACCGATTGCTTTAATAGAAAGTAATTGTTTTTTCAGTGTATTATTCTCACATTACATTTCATTCTTTGGATGCCATGATGTTTAGAAATACTTTTTGCAAACAGCTCAACTAAATATCAATAATTTAATCCCGGGAAATTTAAAATAAAGAAAATCTACTTATTTATTAACTATTGCCTATGTACTATATAATTCAATTTGTTTTCTTTTTGTTTTATTTCGTGTAACACCTATTTTATTCAGTTAATCGTGTAATAAGGAAGGACATGTTTATTTAAAATTTATTCATTTACACAAACATAGGAAGTTTTAATAATCTAAAATATTTTGATTAATGCCAGCAGTTGGTTTTTGAGAAATTATTCAGTGTTTTGTGGGACGTGTGCGATAAAAAGAAACTAAACAGTTTTGCTCTAAATCGTATGGCCTTATTTATTGATGATTTAAACTTTTAAAGATAAAAATGTTGGTAATAATAAAATTTTTATATAGAAAATACTTTGGCATTTTGTTTTTTTGTATAGTGAGAAAGAGCTCAATTAATTTTAAATCACTGAATTTTATCACAGTATTGTACAGGATGTTTCAAATTAAATGCAATAAAATTGTTTACTTCGACGTATAGTAATTTCCCTGAACGAAATAAAAAATATGTTCATTAATAGATCTTTAAGATCACTTTGATCTTCTATTCGGATATGCAAACAGATTTTTAGTGCGATTTTTTGTTTTTTTAGCGGCAATAACAATTTTTTTAATGCATCAATATTTCTACTCCGAATTGGTCATTCAACCCCAATAATACAGAATTTTTTTATTTTGTGACATTTTGTGCCGAAAAACATCATCATCATCAATGTTATGTATTATTTTTAAAGAATGATATTTTTAACAATATTTTTTTATAATTAATTACGCTAAATTGAAAGTGATTTTTTCGGTCCGAGACTAGAAAAGTTTCATTTAATTAAAAGCCAACTCTGCAGTGGAAATAATAAATAAATTATGTAAAAAACAAATAATGAAAATGCCATGTAATTACCAAAACAAAATGCGTTTATAGAAGAAAAATTTCTAAGGTAAAACATTTTTTAGGATAATAGAGGATACAGCGACCAAAAACCTTATAATTTCGTGCATTTAACTTCGAATTATATTTCAAGGACAGAAAGGCCTTTATTTTTTATCTGGAAACGATGCATTTACTATTTTTTGAATAAATAAAAAGCAAACTTAAAATTATTAATTTCACAGAAAAGAACCTATAACAGCAATTATTAATGTTATAAATGTGATTTTTGATACAAGTCGTCATCAAACTTCCAAAAAAGATATATTCGTAAATAGAAACTAATTTTTAAAAAAATTAATTTTTTAAACCTAATGATTTTTTAAACTTTTGAAGTGATGACATTGTATGTAAAATGGTATTTAAACAAAAAACTCAGACAGGTCCTTTATTTTAAACCAGCAGTCAATTTATTATTTTCCAAATAAAATGGAACCTTTTTTTATTGAAATACAATTTAGAGTCGAATGAACTTATCGAAACGATGAATGACAATACTCTGCTTAGTTTTAGTGTATCTCTTCTCTTGATAAAGTGAAAATAAAGTGTGACGTGAGAATAAATAAAGTGAGATAATAAAATCCCAAACATACTTTCTTAAAATTTAAAGGTCAAAGAAGATACCCAAGCAGCACAAATAAGTTTATAATAACTTTAAAAATATCTATATAACCACTCTCCCGTAGGTAAAAGCTTTATTAAAAGATGTTGAGAACAGTTATTCAGCATTAAATAAGCATTTATAAATCCAACTTATAAAACCATTTTATAAAAGCTGTGCATATAATATTTATTCCACTAATTAGTGTTCTGTCGTTGCATTCTTTCAGCATTTGTAGAATATAGGTACTTAAAACCTTTATACAGAAAACATTGTCTTATAAAACAAATTTGCTAATATAATTATTGTCTCCAAAGAAAAGGTTTATACATGTTTTATATAAGCTATTTTTCCCAACTTAAACGCAATGAATGTTGTATTAATGTTTCCAATATACAGTACAACAAAACTTGTTAGCATTATAATTATGCGTTTCTATACTAAATCGTTTTATTAATAATAAAACTAAAAGCT